AGAAAAGCTAAAGCAAAAAGACTGGTATGTGACCATACCATGCAAGACTGTCAAGGCCAACAAAGACAACACTAATCAGCATATCCTACATTGGATTGCAGTGCTCTCCAAATTATTTGAAAAATGCATACAGACAACTTGCCTGATTTTTTAAATGAGCATAAAGGCCCTTTAACCTATGCAGGTTTCCCCATTATGCATATAGAAAATGCTAGTGTGTTTTGCTCACTTCATATGTAACAGGTGCCCTTACGTTGTGCTGTATCCTGTGCTTTTTCTGTGGGACCATTCCATTCAGGAACAAAGAGCACCATGATTCCAATCTTGTGTGTATTTACTAACCCTTCCCCTGAGGTTTGTGTATGTTGGATATTGTGGTGTTTTAGATCACTGAGTGTACAGAAGAGAGAATTCAAACAAAATATTGCTGTTCTTCAGTTTTGTTTGTGGAATTTGAAATTACTCCAATTTAAAATAAATTACTGGACTGTGGAAATAATATGTAGAATCGCAGTTTTAATTAAATACCTCAAACTAAAAGAATGGTACTTTTTGTAGTGTCATACTGGATACCATGGTGCTGTATAAGAAGGTATAAGAGGAATGAGGGTTGGCAAGCGTGAAGGCATTGTGCATTATGTCTCATGTGTGTTCCTGGAGTTAATAATGTATGTGTAGTCTAAAGCACCAATCGCTACAATAATGGGCAACATTTCATCTGTCACCAACATTTTAACCAAGTGGCACTCTAGGTTTTTAATCTAAGCATTTCACTTAAGTAAACCACAGGTGTTAAGTTACATTAACTTGAAATAAAACTATATTTTACAAAGTAGTTAACATGCTGTTTCTCATCATGAACTCTTTAAGGATTCCCAAATTATGGTTGCTTGAATTTTTGTTTTTTTAACTGGTGTGTAAATCCAAGCTTTTTGTTTATGGCTGAGGATGTTCCTTTAAGTTTATTTCGTTGTCCCTTAAACTTCAATACTGCCCTCTGCCTAGCCTTGTATTGCTTTTTAACTCTGTTAGACAAATTATCATAAATTACACAGAAGGATATGTATAGTATGTATTTATATATGCAACTGTGCTGGTGATTGAAATACAGGGCTTCATTCGTACCAGGCTAGTGCTCTGTCACTGAGCTACATCCCCAGACAGTAGGATTTTTTTAAATGTAAAATCCCGCACCCTCCCTTCTCAGCTCACCACTTCCACCCTTAACTTCCTATAGTAAATTCTAGTGTTGGCTAGTGAAAACATCTTGCTATTCAGTCCTAGCTGTACTATGTTCCCAAATCTTTTCTTCCTCATTATCAAGACAGGAATAATGTTCCTTAGGAGCTTGTTCTTTTTAGTCAAGATTTGTTCTTCTAGACCTTTCCTAAACTTGTGTTAATTGGCTTTTATCAGTGGAATGACTCTGACTCTGCTTTTGCCTTCCCTAACAGAAGAATTGAAAATACTTAGGAATTTTTTTTTTCAACAATAACAAAAAGCCTTGCTTTGTGTGCTCTATCCTGATACTTAAACCATCCATAATAGGCTACATTAGAAACAGAAACTACTATAATGTATGATTTAGGCTCAAATCCTCAGCTGAGATTCTGCATTTGTTTCCTTGTCTGTATATTATCACTAAGTACTTTTAAAAATTATTTGGCATACTATGTCTATATCATAAAATGCCTAGCCCAAGATGACAATTTTAAGTGTATAATAAGTGGTAGGTGAATTGCTAATGAACTGTATTTTAAGCCAAGGATCTTTCCTAATCTTAGTATATCAAAGATGGTTTAGAAAAAAGAAGTGGAAACAATACAAGGGTACTAAAAGTACCTCCTCTAAATGAACTTGAACAAGGCGAAACTAATGGGAAACCTCAAGTGGCCAACAAGTTTTCGGTGATCTTGTTTGGTATCCAGATATAGCCACTATTCAAAACAAGTCTATGTAATTGTTGATAACTGTTTCAATGTGGTTATTAATACAATAGCAAGACTGATTGATCTTCAAATAGTGCTGCCTGGCTTTTTTATAATTTAGTCATGCAGATATTCTAGATCCTTAGTATAATTATACAAATTGTTGAAGATCCAGGAAAAAAAATAACTTTGTCAGATCTATAGATATTTACTATTATTAGAAATAAAATAGAATTTTTAAAATATTAGTCTATTTCAATATAAATGTAATAAACTCATTGCATGTTAATATAAAAAAGTTATGCATTGGTTATTTGGAAAATACTGAGGTTTTTTTTTTTTTTTCCCCTAATGTTAATATATTGTGAGAAACCCTGATCTCACCAGGAAAGTTTTGTTTTGAGGAAGGGGTTGTTACTGTTTATACTAGGGACTGAACCTAGGGGTGGTCTGCTACTGAGCTACAGCCCCAGCATCTGTAGATTTTTTGAGACGGGGTCTAAATTGCCAAGGCTGGCCTCAAACTTGAGATCCTTATGCCTCAGCCCTGTGAGTGACTGGGTTTACAGGTACATAACACTATACGTGGCATGGGGCATTTTTTAGCAGTACTAGAGATTGAACCCAGGGCTTTGCGCTGCTAGGCAAGGGCTCTACCACTGAACCACTCCTCCACCCTAGAAAGTTTGGGGAAGCTTGAAGGAGAGGCAGATACAAGTTTTCCAAAATATACTTGTTTTCCTTGAAATGGGATGATTTAGTGTATAAAGAAAGGTCTGGGGCTGGGGATGTGGCTCAAGCAGTAGCGCGCTCGCCTGGCATGCGTGCGGCCCGGGTTCGATCCTCAGCAGATGTTGTGTCCTCCGAGAACTAAAAAATAAATATTAAAAAATTCTCTCTCTCTCTCACACACACTCTTTTAAAAAAAAAAAAAAAAAAGAAATAAAGGTCTGACCAACACCCAGGTTTAAATGTTTCCTTGTCTGTATATTAACACTAAGTACTTTTCAAAATTATTTAGCAGGTTATGTTTATATCATACAATGCCTACACCAAGATGGCAATTTAGGCAAGTTGAGGCCAGCCTCAGCAACGAGACCCTAAGGAACTTTGGACATGTCTCAAAATAAAAATGTGGCACAGTGGTAAAGCCCCTCTGGATTTAGTCCCCAGTAGTTCCCTCTAAATCTTATTGCTTTTGTCATTTTCAAGTCAGGGAAAAAGAAAAATGTTTTTTGTATTATGAAAATAGTTTCAGCAAAATAGACTTTGAGAACTCAAAGATTATAAGTCCTATAAAATATCTGGTACAGGTGAACTAAATAAATAGCATGATACCCGATATTGCTAGAATTTCCTTACTGTTCATCCTAGGAATGTGCCGTGATTTATTTATTAAGAGTCAACCTCCACAGGGCATCCTGTTGGGAATGCACTGCTTTCAGTTTGAAGCAGAGTCTGAGGCAAGCCTCAGAAATAGCCAGAGCCAGAATCCTGCATTTAAGGATTGAGTTCAACTCCATTACATGTTGTTGCATCACTTTTGACTCTGGTATAAACATTCTGTTTAGAAACAGTTGCTATTGTGGCATAATTCATTTGCAGTTTCTCCTGTGCTGTCATATGGTGCTGTAAACTTAAAACACACCAAGTATTAGAACTTTGAAAACTGGATGTAATAGTGGAGTTCTGCCCAGAGGCTAGGAGCTGTAGTGCACATTTCTAGCCCCAGCTACTAGGGAAGCTGAGGCAGAAGGACCATCTGAACCTAGGAATTTGAGGACAGCCCACGCAGTGTAGTAAGACTGCATCTCAAAAAGAAGAGTTCTGCCCACATTCTACCAGTGATCTTAAAGGTGTGCGGTCATGCTGTTAATGTTAGTTAACAGTGGAGAGGGAACAACTTAACATGGGCTCGTTACCAGAATTCTCCCTGGCATTATAACTTTTATGGATATACTGAATTTAGAAATGAATGGTAGAATCCTCCTGGGCTTTGGGGGAAAATGGGGGAGGGAGTGGCTTTGGAGAGTTGAGAACTTCGTATTTTGGGCAGCCAGTATGATGGTAATTACTAGAATTATGGTTTAGATATAAGGTTGAAAATGGGAGTGGGAGAAATGTGCCCTTAATAACTAGTTGTCTAGATCCTTAAGTTCTAGAAGAAACACTGGGGTAACAAACTACATTTACTTTGCTCCATGAGGTCACTTCACAAGTTACAATGGCTTCACTGTTTGGAGAAAGGGATGGGAGAGTAATTTTACGACTTAGAACTACTGAGAAACTTTGGCTAATATAGTGTGCATTGAGGGTGGGGGAGGGTTGGAGCATGTAACACAGCACAGGTGGGTTATATCAGTGCTATAAAATTTCGGCTTCAATTGAAACACAAATTAAAAGTCCAGATGGGCTGAGAGAATGTAGCTCAGTGGTAGAGCACTTGCCTAGCATTCGTGAGATCCTGGATTCAATCCCAAGTACCACAAAGCTTCTCTTAAATTCTAATAATTTAGATTTTTTTCTAACTGTGAGACTGTTATGGGTGGCTATATCATAATATAGAACTAAAACAGGCTGTCAGTCATCCAAAAAGTAATAGCAGGGGAATGCGATTTGAATTCAGTGGAACTGAACTACCCAGCATAGTTTCAGAGAAGAGCTATCAAGACACAAAGAAATCTGACTATTCATAGGGTAATGCTATTGCCCTTCCCTTACACCCACTACCCTCCCTCTCCCACACGGGGTAAATCTTATCCATCTATTTTGTGGAAGGGGGGGAATGGGGATCTAACCTAGGACCTTGTGCATGCAAGGCAAACACTCTACCAACTGAGCTTATCCCCAGCTCCCTCATCTATTATCTTAGATAATGTCTAAGTTGTCAAGGCTGGCCTTGAACTAGTGATCCTCCTGCCTCAGCCTCCCAAATCACCATGTGTTACCCTCTCTTAATCTAACTTCATTGTGACTCATTTCTCTCCAATTTTTTTAGCACTACTTGAATTATCAAGACCATTTAAACCAACAATATTTTTTAAGCCCCAAACAACTCTAACTGCCCACTACTTAGCAGAAAAACACAAGAACAAATTTTATTTATTTTCATCTCAATATTTAAATTGGGGAAAGAAATTGAGCTTTTAATTTTAGAATTTGACAGGCTTCTAAAACTCTTGATAGGAGCATCATCATGCAAAAGCCCATCTAGTAAAGTTTAAGGTGACCAGTAACTTTGTCAATTAAGTCTGCTGGTCCTGGCCCAATCCCCAGGACAGTTCGGGAACCTGGTTCAATCTGAGTACGTCCAGCATCTTGGATTAAACTTACAGTCAGTCCTAGCATTTTTGCATGGGTCAATAATTCAATCAGGGTTTTTTCATCAGGGGCTTTGACCACCACTTTGGGCTGGCCACAGTATTCCCACTCTTTGAGCATCTCAGGGTTTCTCCTTTGAATTTGCTTGTAGGCAGAAACAGCAGCGTGAGAGCATTGGGCAGCAACTTTTCCTTTTCCCATCTTTAAATCATTTCGAACCACAAGAATCATTTTGTATTCCCCAGTCTCTCCCAAGATGCTTGCTTCAGTTCCGGTATCTGTATGTGTCTGACTCGTTGAGTTTTCAGAGAGCATCCCAAAGCGTACTCGGAGGCCCCAGCCAAGGCAGATGCCACAAGCAACTCCAGCAGCCAGGCTTAGTATACCAGGATGAGCCAAGTATTCCATAACCAAAGATTTAGAGAACATCTTAAGAGAAAGAAAAGAAGTTATCACTATCTAAAAGAGGAAAGTTACATGCTTATTAGATAAACACCTTGACTATGAGCAGCAATATTTTAAAATTATGAGGTCATTAAGTAGAAAGCCAAAATATATCTTGAATCTTGTGCATATACCCTGTTTCCACTCATCCCCTGTGTATTAGAAAAGATTCAAGCATATAAGTGAAAAAGTTAAGGTCTGATATGAACACTATTTTCTGGTTCAAAAACTCTTGTTAATTCAGTTTCCCTAAATCTGATGGAGAAAAGAAATGTTTTACCAATATACCCAAAAGAAACCATACAGAACTAACCCCTTTTCTAGGAAGCAGCGCTTATTTGTGTCTTTGTAATACCAATCCCTCGGTGCCCCATTGTCACAATACTGTGCCTAAGGTGAAATGCACTACTGATATTTACTGGGTGTGCGCAAAGATACTAAAAATTCTGCAAAGGGGCTAGGGTTGTAGCTCAGCGGTGGAGCACTTGCCTAGCACATATGAGGCACTGAGTTCAATCAGCACCACATAAAAATAAAACAAAGGTACTGTGTTCATCTACAACTAAAAAAAAATTTTTTTTTAAATCTTGCAAAGGTTAAGAGTTGTACTATCAAGCTGGGAGCAAAGGCACACCTGTAATTTCAGCAGCTCAGGAAGCTGAGGCAGGAGGATCATTAGTTTAAAGCCAGCCTCAGCAACTTAGCAAGACCCTGTCTCAAAATAAAGAGCTGAGGATGTGGCTCAGTGGTTAATCACCCCTTGGTTCAATCCATTATTAAAAAGAGAGTTGTACTATTGGACATTAGTAGAGGTAGATACTCCAGCAAAGCTGTACATCATATTTGAATCACCAAGAAAATAACCTACATCAGACTACATTTGAAGCTGTTGGGTTCATAATGCAACTGTGCATAAATATGAGCAACCATCAGTTTCTTTTCCTAGCATTTATATACAAGTTACCACATTCAAAGTGCCTGAAAATAGTGTCCTTGGAATTATGTAGTGCATAATCTACATGGCAAGGATTGCCCTTGAAATACTTATTTTATCATATCACAAAATTTCCTTTTATTCTTCATTTGGTTAAAGTAAGGATATTACATTAGTATTTGGTAGAGCTCAGTGGTAGAGCACTTGCCTAGCACGCATGAGGCACTGAGTTCAAACAGCACCACATAAAAATAAAACGAAGGTACAGTGTCCATCTACAACTAAAAAAAAATTTTTTTTAATCTTGCAAAGATTAAAAGAGTTGTACCATCAGGCTGGGAGCAGTGACTGTGCATACCTGTAATCCCGGCAGATTATACAGTATACCAAAGATTTTCATTTCAGAATAGTACAGCAAATGTCAAATTATTTTAAAGATATAATTCACATGCCATAAAATTCACTCTTTTATGGGCTGGGGTTGTGGCTCAGTGGTAGAGTGCTCGCCTAGCATGCATGAGGCACTGGGTTCAATCCTCAGCACCACATTAAAAAAAATAATAAAGATATTGTGTCTACCTGAAATTAAAAATAAATATTTAAAAAATTAACCCTTTGAAATCATACCATTTAGTGGTTTTTAATAAATCCACAAGGTTGTGTTACCATCACTATTTTCAGTGGCCCCCAAAGTAACCCCTTACCCATTAGCAGTCACTTCCTATTTCCCTCTGCCCTTGACAACCTTTGTGTCTTTGACAATCTCCTTTCTGGATTCACTTATTCTGGACATTTTATATAAATGAAATTATACTATGCCAGGTGTGGTGGCACATACCTATAATCTCTACTATTCAGAAATCAGAAGCAAGAGGATCACAAGTTTGAGGTCAGCCTTAGCAACTTAGTGAGACCTTGTCTCAAAATACAAAATAAAAGGGCTGGAGATGTAACTCCATGGTAGAATGCCCCTGGGTTCAATCCCCAGTACCAAATAAATAAAAAAACAAATAAAATCATGCAATGTATGGCATTTTATTTTGGCTTCTTTCATTTAGCATAACATTTATATTGCTGTATCTATATCCTTGCTTTTCAAGGCTGGAGGTAAGGCCAAGGTACACTTAATATAAAAATTAAAACAACCTGATAACCCTGCATGTACAATCTCAAATTCAAACCCCGCTCCTGCAGGAATAAAACTTCCCTGAAATTGCTACTTAATGTTATAAAACGTACAACTATCTGAGTCCATTAGAATCTTCTTCAGATAGCTTCTGAAACATGTACCAAAAATCTTCTATATCCTTTTCTAGATTTACCTTCTTTTTTTGGGGGGGGGGGAGGAAGTGCAAGGGGGGTTGGTACTGGGGATGGAACCCAGGGCCTCATAAATGCTAGGCAAACACTCTACTACTAAGCTTCATCCCCAACCCTTTTTTAATTTTTTATTTTAAGACAGGGTCTCACTAAGTTGGTCCAGGCTAGCCTCAAACTTGTGATCCTCTTGCTTCAGTTGTCCAGTTAGCTGGAATTATAGGTATACACTACTTACCCGGTGTTTAAAGTGACTAACTTCTGTGGTCACTTTGGCAGCACACATACTAAAAATGGAACAGTACAAAGAAAATTAGTATGGTCTCTGTGCAAGGATGAAATGCAAATCTGTGAAGTTTTCCATATTTTAAACATAACACCCAAGTTCTATAGGCAAGAAAGCAGGAAAAAAAGGAGAATGCAGTGAGGAACCTATTTGCAGAAGAAAGGTGTGGTCAATAGCACTTTATTTGACAAAGTAACCAAATATCCCATATACCAGAATCAGGTCCTATTTGGAGAAGCAAACTGCTCTACACAGAAGATGGATAACAAAGTAAAACCTCTACATCTGTGAAAATTGTCAGAATCAAAATGCTTTGGTCAAAACTTCAGAAAATAAGCAAGTATAACAGGAACATAATGAAAGGGGAGATCTCACGTACATATGCCTGATAAGAACCAAAACACAGAGTGCTGAAACAGCAAACCTGCATAAAAAAATACTTCAGCAAGGACATCTGCTCAGTAACTGCCTTTTCAACCTTGGACTGATACTACCCTTGTAGCCAAGAATTTCTGTTTCAAAACAATAATATGTGGGTTGGGGATATAGCTCAGTTGGTAGAGCACAAGGCCCTGGGTTCAATTCCCAGTACCAAAAAAAACCCCCAAAATATATATACTCTCTTCATTTAGCCTCTAAAAATTTTTCCTTGCTTCAACCTCCTTGAATACACCACATGGTTTCCTGTAGCATGCACATTCCAATTGCAATATTCATTCCCAAATAAACACATTAAATTTCACAGAACCTCTTCCCATTATTTCTGCTTTTCCTTTTTTTTTTGGTACTGGGGATCAAACCCAGGGACTCTCTACCTCTGAGCTACATCCTCAGTCCTTTTTCCTTATATTGAAATAAGATTTAGGTAAAATACTGAAGCTGGCCTCAAACTCGTGATCCTTCTGCCTTAGTATCTACAGTGGTTGAGATGATAGGTGTATGCCATTGCACCCAGCCCATTATCTCATTTTTGCTGCCATAAAAATAAAAGGAAGATATAAGCTTCATTTTACAGATGAGAAAAACGAGGATCAGAGAAGTTGCTTATCCACAGCATCTACAACAGGGGCAAAACTATACAACATTGCCTGATCATAATAAAAAGCTTCTAAGTTGGGCTCCATTTGTGTACAATGTGTTAAAACACATTCTTCTGTCATGTATAACTAATCAGAATTTTAAAAAAACAAAAAAAACTTTTCATCTTCTCAACTTCATCTAAACACACACACCAGTATGAGACAGTGAAAACAGAATGGCAAATATCCTAGAAACTTCCAAGTTTACTGCTTATGTCCCACATCTCAATGGGATCTAATTATAAAATTAAGATGTTTTAATCTCTTAACCCAACTATCTCCTCTAAAATGTCTCTTTTTCCAGACACTTACTATGAACACATTAATAAAGCTCAGTACCTGAGACTATTTTTTTTGTGTGTGTGTTTTTTTTTTTTTTTTGGGGGGGGGGGGTACCAGGGATTCAACTCAGGGGCACTCAGCCACTAAGCCACATCCCCAACCCTATTTTGTATTTTATTAGAGACAGGGTTTCATTGAGTTGCTTAGTGCCTTGCTTCTGCTGAGGCTGGCTTTGACTTATGATCCTCTTGTCTCAGCCTCCCAAACTGCTGGGATTACATGCGTGTACCACCATGCCCCGCTTTTTTTAAAATATATTTTTTAGTTGTCAGTGAAACTTTTACTTAATTAGGTGCTGAGGATCGAACCCAGTGCCTCATACATGCTAAGCAAGTACTCTGCCATTGAGCTACTACTCCAGTCTGCCTGAAACTATTCTTAAGTCTCACAGATAATCATTAGCAATGACAGCACAGTAAACCAAGTATGCCCTATAAAACCTCCTCTTGGTGCCTTCTAATTACCTTGCCTGACTAAACATGTTCCACTAGTGCTCTTGCTCCCATGACCAAGTGAACCTTGTTCCACCCATTTATCTTACCCCACAGAATAGCATTTGCTAACCTAAAAACGAAAAAGAAAAAAACAAAACAACACAAAAAAATCTTCCTGAATCTTCTTTGACCTTTAAACACTGCCTCTTTATCTCCAAACTTCAGTTTCAGATATCTATTTCTCCAAATCCTTGTACCTGGGAACCTCTCTTGCCCACTATTGAAAATTAGTAGGAAACCAGATACTTCCTAATTGTCAAATGTAGTTGCTTCTTTTCAGGGCTCATCTTAAGTTTTCTGCCACTTATTGGTCACTTCTGAGACTTAAAACTTTCCTCCATTGAATTCTTTCACTCTATTAGCATCCTACCTCTCAGACAGCTTTTTTTTTTTTTTAAATGGTATAGAGGATTGAACCCAAGGGTGTTCTACTACTGAGCTATAGCTAAATTGCCCAGGCTGGCTTCAAACTTGAAATCCTCCTGCCTCAGCCCCCCAAGTCATTGGGATTACAGGCATGAGCCACCACACCCAGCTTCCTGACAGCTTTTTTGGTCCCCTTCTGAACTCTACATCCTCTGTTTGCTCCTGATATATGTACTGTATTACATAAGTCTACACATTTGGCCTTTTCAGTCTATGTCTCCAACGTCCACTATAGAAGCCAATAGCCAAATGCGATTAAGGAAACTTTGATTAATTAAAACTAAATTAAAAATCAGTTCTTTAGTTGTACTAGCCATATTTGAAGTGCTTAATAACAATTGAAGATGGCTAGTGACTATGACTACTCTGACATACAGTGAGTTAACAGAACTTTCTGTCACTGAAAAAAAGTTCTATTTGAATAGCACTGGTCTATATGTTCTCTTTCCATTCAAAATCCATCAAAATTCACTGAGGATTTACTGTGCTTCAGGCACTGTTCTGAAGCTCGGAGATCACTGGCGGGGGGGTGGAGTCCCACTCCTTATGGAGCTAACATTCTGGTGGGAGAGGACAGGCAATAAAGCTTGTCAGATGAACAATCTCATTCCCAATCATCCTATGCACAGACTCCTAAAGTGTCTCCTTGGCTTCGAATTTGAACCTCCAATTTCTGCTGGATTTCATCACTTAAAAGACTATGAAATATTCTTTTCTTTATTTTTTTGGTAGTGCTGAGCAGCAAACCCAAGACCTTGTAATACAAAGTTTCTTTTCCTGTAGTCTTGATTTGAGTATCCTGCACTTTTCCTCCTCCTATGGTCCTCCAACATCCAGTCACCGAATCCTGTTAAACTTATGTTTTAAACCCATTCCAGGATTTCTACTTACAGTTCCTAATTATCTCTTGTCAAAGGCTTCCAAACTTAGCTTTTCTTGGCTCTTACTCTAGTTCATCCTAGCCCATATACCATTATAAATACACTTCTAAAACATTCTCAAAAATCATCAGCTAACCGCATAGAGAATAAAACAAATTCCTTAGCACCAACTGTAAGTACTACACAATTCTGGTAACAGCCGACTTTTTCCTTTTACAACTGCTGCTATATGTTGTACCATCCAGCCACATCAAATATTTAGGTCCTTTCAAGGGGTAATCTCTCCCGAAATTATTTTCTGGTCTTCCCCATTTAAAATAAAAACGCAAATAAAAATATCCTATTCACCTGGAAAGGCCCAGCTGAAATCACACTGTGAAGTCAGCACCATCCCCCAACCAGACTTAATTATTTCCCCTTCGAAGCTTCTGGGGCACTTATACAGCACGATCAAATACCTCTCCAGACATTATATGATACAGGAGAATAAAACTTTCTATTATATCCTTAGAAATCTTTTCTTCCCACAGCTTGAAACGCGTGAATATACAGCAGAGAGCGTGAGGCTTGCTCGCTATTTTCTCCCATTCGGAGAGAGTGCATCGATACTGCCGGAAACGCGTGGCTCTGTTGGAAAACTAGCAATTCCGGTTCCTAACCCTTCCCGGCATCTTGATTCCTTTTCTTCCAAAGGATGACTTGCTGAACAGGCTCGGGGATCCAACGATCACCAGGCGAAGATGTAGGCGGGTAGTCATGGAGTAACTTGGGATGAAACGTTCCAGCTGAAAAGAGAATGGAGAACGACATCCCTTTGCTTTGCCCTAGGAGGAACCGACCTACCTAAATACTCTCCTTCACACACGCGCCTTCTTGTTGTTCAATTCTGCGGAGCTAACACACTTTGCGCGCGCGAACTACCTCTTCCGGGGTTTCAGGATAACTAGTTCCGGATCAAGAACCGAGAAGGTTCAATCATCCTTTTCTCGTCACACCCGCAGGAGTCCGGACTGAAATACCGCGAGGATCAGCTGAGGTTGCCTAAAGGAGTGGGGAACGTTTCTCTTTAGGAGGCGGTCTCCGCTGGGTAACCGGACCGGAAGTGACGCGAGCGAGTTCCGGTTGGCCGGAGCCCCGCGGCGGGTGTGAGAGTCAGTCGGGAGCCGCTTCCAGGATCCCGAGATCTGTTGAGAAGCAGGAGTCGGAGTGGGTAGGTAAACGAAAGCGGGGAATTGGGCAAGGAAGCTTGAGACCATCATCAGAGCTTGGCTTCTTCCGGAAGCTCTCCCACTTAGTGCAGATCTGGGGCCCGGCGGTTTTTACTTCCATGAGTGTTTTAGGGCTTTGCTGGCTCTGGTTGTCTCAGTCTGGCGGTAGCCGGGTTATTTGGGACACCTCTCCATGGTTGGATACAGGACATTGAAACCAGGCACTGAACTCCCGACCGTTCGCTTTCCTCTCCACCTGGAAGCCGTACTCGGCTTGTATGAAGAGCCCTCCTCCTGGGGTGTCCAGCACCCTGGAGTAAATGAAGAGGTTTTCCCTGCTGCCGACAGAGTTGCTTCTCAGGATCTTTCGGCTTGGTTCTTGCCCTCCTCCTCAACCAGTGGTGCATGATGTTAAATCTTTCTGTTCTTAAACAAAATCCAGGCATGCAAGTGCCATCTAAAGCCTTCTTGGTACAAAGTGGCCAAGGGAATGGGCCTTCACTTCGTAGAGCCTTTGCTAAGGACCTTCTGAAATCTCCTTTTACTTTCATGAAAAATAGTTTTCTGCCTTTTCCAAATCCCTGACCCCCAATGCTTGTATTTCATTACATTGGAAGTACTTGCAGTAAAACATGAAGGTCGAAGATTTAAAGATTTATCTTTAAATCTTTGAGAAGCGTTATGTGGTCCTCTTGTCACACTGCTTTATTACTTAAGACCTTCAATAGATTTTACACAGTCATCTTTTATTTTTCTGCAACTTCATGTAAAAAATCTAATAATGTGCAGACTGGACACTTTTTATATATCTTGGCAGCATCTATTCTTTCCCTGTCTTTCAGTTCTCCTTTGGTGCTTGTCAGATTTTGTAGACAGATGGCATTGATCATTTGGAAATGCTTGTTTTTAAGTATTTCTAGTGTTGTAATGATAGATAATTTAATATTCCAACTGCTACTACCTATTAAATGTATTGATATTACAGTGTAGTTCTGTATTCTCAGCATAGATGATGGGAAGAAGCTACTATTTATTAGGTGGCATTTTATGCATTCTAGATTATGTTTGTATTGGAAAAGAGATGGTGAAACCCAGACAAATGTGACCAATTCGTGTAAGTGTGAAATGACTAAAGTAGAAATCTTTCATGTTTTCTTTATATTATTGTAAATCACTAATGGTTTTCTTTTCTTTATTTATTTCTTTTTTTTTTTTTTTTGAGGGATATATACTGCTTGAATACACACAATTAATTCTGTTAGATTCCTGTGGCTCATTTTCCAGAAGAAAAATACACATATAACCAGGTTTTTGAAGTACTTAAATAAATGCTTTGATGCATTTTAACAGGTTATCTATACCTAGTTTACTCAGTTTATTGTTTAATTCACATGCTGCTCTTATTTTTGAGTTAGCAATTTTTTTTCACAGTTGTCTTTGAAATGAGGTGTCAAGTTTTTTGACAGGTAGAATTATAAAAGTTCGATGTAACATTAGTTCAATGTCCAATAAATTTACTTGTTGACTACATAAAGGTAAAATCTGTTCTTATATTCTTTCTGTTCAGTTCAATTGATTATTTGACTTTTCTCACATTACCAACTTCTTCCTGTGTTTGACTTGAATCACTGCTTTTTAGAATCTTGAAGATCAATAAACTTTAAACAAGAAGACCTGAATTGAAGTCTGGGCTCCAACACTTATTGGGAAATGGTTGGCAGGATACCTGTCATTCTTAGCTGGCCTGTATTGTGTTGATAAAAGTACAGCTTACTTATTCTCATAGGTCTGTCACAGAATTTAGTGAGATAGTAAATGTGAAATCATGATATAAGTGAAAATATGATAATACTGTCATTTTACTCAGCTGGAAGTATATCAGTGTAGAATACTATTCCTTTGAGTAACTTTTAAAGTTGATTATTTGTACTGTGTCCTTTTGTTTATCTGAAAATATTATCACACACTTCTGAGACAATCTTTGCCCTACTTTTGAACAATAAAGCTAGCCAAGAACGGTTTTATACTCTGACCCATTGATTAAGTCATGTTGGTTAATAAGTAGGTGGCTGGAAGGTGAGTTTAGTTTTGCATTTGGAAGTTTAAATCTGATCTTTCTTGGTCATCCTGTATTGTCATGTGAGATTTCCAAATACAGAAAAACCTGAAGTTTTTAGTTGCTTATATGTTATTAACTAAAGATTAGAAGTAGTTCCATGTTACTTACATTAAGAAACCTTATTATTTTACCAAAACCAATGTGAACATATAGTTAGATTCTTCACATTTATTAGAGGAGAAAATTAGGGCCTAGAATCAAATAGCAGTTGGCTTGCCTGAGGTCAGTTGGCATAGGTAGTACCAGAACCTGAACTGGATTTAAGATCCTAAGTGTTCTTTGTATTCTGCTAAGGTTGTCTCCAAGCATCTTGGTATCACTTGGTAAAATTTCCTGGTTTGCAAGAAAATGTTTTCTTTTGTGCATTAAAGGGTACACACATACACATTAAAAAACTTATATTCCTTTTTAACTGGTAGAGTCTTATAAGTTGTAGGAAAACAAAGCTATTTGGCAAGATTTGCAGTGGAACAGATTAAGGAAAGAAAAAAGTACAGCTTACTTACTCTCGTAGAATACTTCAGAATGATTATTCTGATATTACACTTCTTTACTATCAGGTATTGAAATTTCTTTCTGGCAAGTGGAAATACAAGTCTTTATTGAGTGAATGTTATTAGTGAGTCACGGAAAGCTGTGTTAATTTGTTCCAGATAAAAAAATTTCCCCATTATGTTTATTATCTGTTATCTGTAGTCATTTCTGTAGCTATTTTGTTGTAGGTAAATAGCCACTGTAAAAGAGTACATTTTTTGTCTTGCTGGGAACTCTGTGTGGTTTATAGTCTTTCTCCTTTCCTACCCTCGTGTCCCTGTGTTTCTCTACCACTTTAGCATAGAAATGAACTCTAGATTAACAAATCATGACAAACAGGATGAATTGAAGTCATAACTTTGTTGTGTTTGTGTTAGGGGCTGGGGATATAGCTCAGTTGATAGAGTACTTTCCTCACATACACAAGGCCCTGGGTTCAGTCCCTAGCACCGCCAAAAAAAAAAAAAAAAAAGAATGGATTGTTGTGTTTGTGTTAGGTGATAATCTACTTTCACAAAGATATACACATATTTTTGAGAGTAAACTTTTGGAGGGGTGCTGGGGATTGAACCCAGAGCCTTGTGCTGCTAAGCATGGGCTCTACCACTGAGCCCTAAGAATATACTTTTAAAGAGCATATTGCATCAAGAAACTCCTTTTTTTAGTCTGGGTAAGTAACTTTAGATTAAGTTTGCTGAACTGAAGTTATGTTATGTAAACCCTTATATAAAGCTCATTTTAAAACATTTTGTTCTTAGCTGGGTACTGTATGCATGTAATGCATGCCTGTAATCCCAGCAATTTGGGAGGCTGAGGCAGGAGGACTGAAAATTCAAGGCCAGCCTCAACCTCAGCAATTTAGCAAGGCCTTAAACAATTTAGCAAGACCTGTCTCAAAATAAAACATAAAAAGGGCTGGGGGAATGTGGCTCGGTAGTTAAGCAACCCTGGGTTTAATTCCTGGTACCAAAAAAGTAAATAAAACATTATGTTTCTTAAAAATTTGAACAAGGAATATTTTCTGTGTCATATAAGAGATCATATTTAAAGTTTTAGGCATATTTAAATTAAGCAAGGGCAATCCATTGAGTAATCCTATCCCAGCTAGTCCACTTAATGCTTATGTTTCTTTTTTTTTTCCAGTAGATAATTAAAATGTCTTCTTTTATTCTTGGGATTCTTTCCCTAAAACTTTGATCTTCATAGATGATTTGGAAGGATTCCACAGGTGCTGTTAAGAACTAGGAAGATAAAACCTTGGTTCAAATTCCAGCTCTGTTACTGTGTGACTCCTGAGCTGGTTACTTAACCTCTTTCTATCTCAGTACCTTTATTGTTAGGGTTAAATGAATCAATTTAAGTAAAGTATCTAATACATAGGTAAACATAATTATGATCATTGTCTTCATGTGACCCACTGAGCTGTTGCTAAGAACTCTTTCCCAACCCTATTTTGATAGCATATCTTTATGATGCTGCTTACTTATCCTTTGCTCATTATTAATGAACTTTCAGTAAATAGAGTATACATTTCATTTCATGAATATTTTACAACATATGTGAGATTCTTAACCAAAGGAGGCATTCTTGTAGCCATTCTCTTAACTTTTTTTTTTTTAATTATCATTGACAGTTGACATTCTCTTTGTAAGCTGTAACAGAATTTGGCAATTGAAACCAATTCTTTGATATTTAATGATATCTTCTAGCACTTTCTTTGCATGGAAAGATCATTTTTTCCAGTGACATCTATTGCCTTATCTGTTCATTCACCCTTGCAATGAAGGAACATCTTGTGTCCTAGGGCTTATACCAGGTTCTGGAGAAAACAATAGGAAATAAGAAATGTTATGAAGGAAACAAATAAGGTTTTGAGAGAGAGTTAACAATGTGGCTGTGTGCCTCTTTGGGGCTGGAGCACAAACAGACTTGGAATACAGTGACATGAGATAAGAAAGATATGCAGAGGCTAGGTCATGTCGAACTTTGCAGGTATTGGGAATGAGTTTGCATTTGATTTTGAGTGCAGTGGTAAATCATTCTACAGTTTTAAGTAGAGGAGTAATATGTTTCATAAGAACTTCTGCTCATGTGTGGAGGATGACTTGAAAGAGACAAGAATAG